TAGCTTCTTCTTCTTCTCCTTCTTCTTCTTCTTCAGCTCCTTCATTTTCTTCTTCTTCTTCTTCTTCAGCTCCTTCATTTTCTTCTTCTTCTTCTTCTTCTTCTTCTTCAGCTTTCATTTTCTTTTCTTCTTCTTCTTCTTTTTTTTTCTTCTTCTTCTTCTTCTTCTTCTTCTTCTTCTTCTTCTTCTTCTTCTTCTTCTTCTTCTTCAGCTCCTTCGTTTTCTTCTTCTTCTACTTCTTCTTCATCTTCTTCTTCTTCTTCTTCTTCAGCTCTTTCATTTTCTTCTTCTTCTTCTTCTTCTTCTTCTTCTTCTTCTTCAGCTCCTTCATTTTCTTTAGCTTCTTCTTCAGCTCCTTCATTTTCTTCTTCTTCTTCTTCTTCAGCTCCTTCATTTTCTTCTTCTTCTTCTTCTTCGTTTTCTTTAGCTTCTTCTTCTTCTTCTTCTTCTTCAGCTCCTTCGTTTTCTTCTTCTTCTTCGTTTTCTTTAGCTTCTTCTTCTTCTTCTTCTTCTTCTGCTCCTTCGTTTTCTTCTTCTTCTACTTCTTCTTTAGCTTCTTCTTCTTCTTCTTCTTCTTCTTCTTCATCTTCTTCTTCTTCTTCTGACACCTGGACTCTGGCACGAACACAGGTTTCGGCTAACATCAAAAGTCGTTTGTTTTAATTTTGCTGATATTATTTTCCGGCGTTCCTTTCATTTTCTTTCTTTCTTTTTTTCTTTTTTTTTTCTTTTTTTTTCTAATAACGGAAGTCATGCGATGAGCCTCTTTGATTCTTGGTATTTTTCAGTCACAAATAAGTAGACTTTGTTATGCAAGCTACCGACGTTTATCGGTCGGGTTCAGTCTTTTTTTTCTTTCTCCTTTTAGTTGAGGGTTACCTTCTTCTTAGTTGAGAGAAGTATAGATAGAAAAGTTTGGTGAGAGAGAAAGAAATATATAAGGATGTTAAAGGAAAGCGCGAATGCCTTATTTTTATTTGAATACTTTTTATTTTGTGTTTATATTTTTTGTTTTTTTATTATTATTTTTATCGGGACTCACTCTAACAGTAAAAAAAATCATAGCAAATATTAGTCTTTTTCATATTTCACAGGCTGCTCGACTTTTCCATTATAGATTGGTCATGCATTTCGAATGTCCACGCAAACATGTATATGCAAAAAAGCTGAGTATCTACCATATATTCAGTTATGACAGCAGAATAACATATATTTCTTCCAAGCTCGCAAGAAAATTTAATTTCGGCATTAAATGACCCATAAAATGTTGATATGCTGTTAAACAGACAAATCAAATAAATCTAGGTTAGTCTTTAAGGAACGTAAGTTATTTGACGTTCTGAAGTGACACCAAAGCTTATTCTAATATCTCTTAAGAGTAAACCCAGTACATACCAAGGTCACCTCTCTGGTATTTCCAGGAGTGAATAGCAAACTACGTGTTACGCCAAATTTTCAAATTGATAGTATTTGCAATTCTGTTTTTGATTTGATCTAAACAAAATTTAAGTGCCGATCTATTAACATTTCGAGAAAATTAATAATTGCCTTTGTTTTTGTATCTTTGCAGTCTTATTTGGAAAAAGGGTTGTTCGTTTTTGTTTACGGTGCAAAGGATTCCTTGGTAGATTTTCTACATATTGATAACCTGATTTCTGCCCATATTCTTGCGGCAAAGGGTCTTACGAGAGAAAAACTTTTATTGCTGTAAGTATCTTCCAAATTTTTTATGTACACACACACACACACACACACACACACATATATATATATATATATATATATATATATATATATATATATATATATATATATATATATATAGAAACCTAGAGAGCCAGACCAAGGTTTCACCTAAGCGGATCGTCAGGGATGGTCTGCTCTCTATATATTGCACCCATGAAGTTGATCTTGGAAAAAGATCAAAAGTACTTGGGAAATAAAAATAAAAAAAAATTTAAATAGCTATAAGGTTATTCGTGAGTAAGAAGGGGATTTATTAAAATTTAGCAGACATAATGTCTGTAATTTATTCAGATATGTCTAAAAGAGAATTTGTTGCTAAATACACCCCCCACACACATATATATGTGTATATATATATATATATATATATATATATATATATATATATATATATAGAGAGAGAGAGAGAGAGAGAGAGAGAGAGAGAGAGAGTCCAAAAAATATATACACCTCAGGAAAGGAAAAACTTGCATAGATATTGTACTACTAAATTTATTCAGACATCACGAGATTAAGACATGTTACCTTTGAATGATGATGATATTTCATCATTATAAAAACAACCTTTCCACCAGTGTTGATTGATAATAAGAATATTTTATCATCCTAAAAATCTGAAACTTCATCATTATAAAAACAACCTTTCCACCACAAGCAAAGACAGTAGAGTCAGGTCAGTGGAGTATCTGTAGAAGACCACTAGTAAAAAGGAACAACAGACGTATCTTCTTCGCTACGTAAAAATCAACAGTTAACGGTTTTAAATCCTTACCTTGACCACGAAATTCTTGGAATAATTAAAACAAATTAATTTTGCCCAAATTTTAAAGAAACAAAACAACAATAACGCTGAAAGCATTTAACACTCACACACACAAAAAAACAATATTGTAAATAACATCACGTAAAGAAAAATACACATTCTTGCCATTAATTTCAACACGTGTCTCAAAGTCTTATTGTTTATATTATTGTTGTTCGTTTTATTCATTTCCTTTCAAAAACAGTAAAAAAAAAGTGAAGAGTATTCCTCTATCAACTACAAATGCATATAACAATGGGGTAACTTACTTTAACTACTTCAACATTCAACCCCGTTAAAGACTCTAGAATCACAAGAAATGCTCAAAATGGTGGCCTTTAGCTTCCAGACCTTTATTCGTACGGCGAACTACAGCTTCGGCAAGATTGGCCAAAGTGTCCAGTGGGATTTCTGCCCATGCATTTTCAATTTCTTGTCTAAGATCCGCCAATGTAAGTTCCTTTGACGAGAAAATATCGTACTACAGTAAACAATGTTATCCCAATTTGATATAATAACGAAAGTCAATTTTTTTTCCTTTCCTGAAGTGTGTATACAATTTTTGGCAGACCATATATATATATATATATATATATATATATATATATATATAGGTATGCAGAAAATAGAAAAGAACACGTTGGGTGCATAATCCGGAGTTCCTTAGTATTTTTGTTTTTATTTTTAAGAAGACAGTGCCCCATACAGAAGTAGGGCTTTATTATGATTAAGGTAAACCAAGAGATAGCTTATTCCTAAAATTTCGCTTGAAGATGAAACGGGACTAAACACCTCAATTCAACTTAATTTTAATAATTATTTGGATGGTTTCAGCTCTCGTTTTTGAAACATGAGAACTCTTATGTAGCGAAGGAATCATATTTTCAAACAAAAAAATATATATATATATATATATATATATATATATATATATATGGTTGGATTGGATTGATGTGAGTTTGTGACCCCGGGTTTCACGCTTTTGCGATCGTCAGACAAACTGATTAATTTTATAAAAATTTTGGATTTATGTAGATTGCGTATATTGCTGTTATTATGGAAGTGGTGGGGGGAATCGTCGTCGTGATGTCACTCATGCTAACGCAAGCATAGATGCATGTCCGTACACCCGATGAGGTACGCAGACACACATACACACTCGCTCGTCCGCCGGGGCTCATACAGATATAAACATATGTGGACAGTATGGGATTTGGCATATGTATGTATATGGGTGATGTTGTCTATATACATACGCATTTGTACGTTGAAATTCAAAGATCGGAAGTGTAGCGAAAATTTCTCGTGAATGTTTCGTGAATGTATACATGTCAGCAATCAGAGCATTCTTCTATTTTTTCGCTGAATAATATTTCCTCGCATGCACGTATATACGTTTCACACACACACACACACACACATATATATATATATATATATATATATATATATATATATATATATACACAAACTAATTTTGTTAAATTCTGCCGACAAATACTATTTTTTAAGATGTTTTACATCGAGATCAAAATCATGAATAAACTGTCCTACGTTCCTGTTTTGTCCTTTTTTCTAGTAATTTCGACTGCCTCAGTTATTATCAAGAATTTGGTGTTGTCTGTGCACTAGATAAGATTCTGTTGGCTATATTTTGGCAATTTCTTGGAACGCTGAGATTCAAATCAATCTACAGTGACGTCATGTGTGAAACTGTCACATGAAGCTAGACCGCGCCAATTCGCTCGTTTAGTTAGTTTGATTCTCGCTGAAAACCAGACGAAACTAATCAAGAGAGGGGAGCGTTGAACCTTTTGCAGCAAGAGTTGAGTAGCACCTTTCAACTGAAAAGGAAGAGTGGAAAAGAAACTGAGTAGGGCTCGGTTAGCATTTTTATGACTTGAGATTTTTGGTTGTACCCTTTTGTTTATATCTATTATATTCCGTATTTAGATGCGTGGGCGATGTGGAAACAATGTGGGCGAAATACTGCGTTTGGTTGCAAACAATGAAATTCAGAATCGAAAGAACAGGAAAGACTGGAGATATATTTTATAGTCCTTTTAGTGAGGAAAATAAGAACAAGTAAAAGGTTCGTATTTAAGAAGTTGAGTGTCTATGGTAGTGGCAAGTAAAGTTCGTGGAGTTAACTTGACTTATGGAAGGGGAAAGGTACCCTTTGACAAAGCGTCGGACGAGAGTGCATTAGCAGCAGCAGTCACATGCTTCGTCCGTCGCAAGGCCAGTGTGTCAGGAGCTAGCGACGTGACCCTTCTGCCTCCGCCGTTGAATGGGACTCCCTTTTGACTTTCCCGTGTTGAACTTATACACGCCTATCGGCTCCAAATGGCAATTTCTTGACTACGCGGGAGACGGTCCGATTGGTTGATTTAATTCTTTCATTTTTTTTTTTTTTGAGTTTATTCCAAACGGAAGTATCTGCGTCGAGCTTATGCGTAGACGTGCAGTTTTCATTTCGAGTCGGGGACTCGTGATGGTAACTTCCGTTTATCGAAGCAGGGCAAGATCTCATCTTGTAACACATCCGTTGCTGCTACTGATGAATTGAGCAAAGTAAGGAAGCCCTCACATGCCACAATAACCAACAAACGACATAGTTTCTATAGTCACCAGTGTAATGAAGCAGTTCTTTGTTTTAGACAACGGAATAAGTTGTTTGTTTTTTTCGTAAAAGTAAACAGATTTATGATTTTTTTTTGTTTATCAACTAATAAAATCATCCTTTGTTATTTTCATTTAAAAAAATAAAAATAATCATTCATATTTAAGCATATATTTTATTTTTTTATTTTGTCAGAGTGGCCAAGCATATTTCATCTCAGATGGGAAACCGATAAACAACTTTGAATTTTTTAGACCTTTGGTAAATATCTACTCTTTTTCTTTTTTGTTTACTTTCTCTAAAACTTCATCGATACAAGCCTATCGACTTAAAATCGTAAAACCTAATGATTTAATTATATCCGGAAAAAGGAGTGTGGAACCACCTGTTAATTGTTGTTCCCAGGTCCACCCAGAGGTGGTAGCATCTATTAGGGTCCTAGCTCTCGACAAATAGGTAGCCCCTAAACTGGGGTCAAAACATTATGAAAGTATAAAAATAGATTTTTATAGTGAAAATACCAGCAATACATTTTTGGGAACAAAATATTACCAGCAATACATTTGATTTGACTCTCGACATAAACCCTCTTCACAAAAATACGTCAATGAAACCTAATTTCTTACAAAGAACATATATTCTATTCATAAAAACCTATCCTAAAAATCTTATCGGCATTACATAATCTATTGAGGTTGATATGCCGTAAAACAAAATAAACCAAACCAAACCAAACAGAAGGATTCCCAAAACAAAACAAAGACGTTAACTCTAAAAACATAATTCTTCGAATTCATAGCAGTTATTTCCAGCGGAATCATGTTCTTAGACTCAATATCAACCCATTTCAGGTCAGTGTTTCATAACGAACCCCAGTTTGGTAAATTTATGATCGAAAAATGTTATCTCGGCAATAATTTAACTTGTGCCGTTTCTTATTTTATTTTCCACACACACATACACACAATAAAAATTAATTCACACCACGTGTATCAAAAAATACAATTGCGCGGGAATTCATTCCTTACCATGCCCTGTGGGGTCAAAAACAAGGACGGCGCACCCAAAAGTTCGGACGTAGTGAAAAGCACACCACGTGGTCAAAAATAGGATTTATTGACCAATCAGGACTCGACATGAAAACCCATTTCTTAATCTCCCCGGACCTCATCATTCTTATATAAGGAAACCTCATTCGGTCGTTCACTTTTTAGAACTGACTCCCTCTTCCTACGGGCGGGAGGAACCCTCGCCGAAGGGCGGAAGTCATTCCCGTTATACGTTCAAATGGGCTAGGCCTAATGGCTCGGAACTCTCACGAAAAAGGCCTTGAGTCACCCTCGTGGTTCTGAATATTGTCAGTTTTTTTGAACAGACTGCTCGGTTTGAACTCTCTTCCTACGGGCGGAGGAACCCGAAGGAGGCTACGCCGAAGGGCGGAGTCTCCTTCGGGGAGGTAAAACCGGCCCTGAACCCGTTTATACGGGTTCAAATGGGCTATTTTTGGGCCGAGCCTAATGGCTCGGGAATGCCCACGTTAAAAAGGCCTTGTGCCACATGACACCCTCGTGGGGGGGGGTGACTCAATATCGAGAGAGAACAGCGACAAGCTGACAATCAAAGCGACACGGACAGTTTCGAGCACACACACACCGAGAGGATTCAGCGGTTCACACAACAGGCAGTATCACGTATCAGTGAACATTCTTTCACCCTCTCTTTCTTTCATCTCGCTCGCTACACATAGTCCTACCTTTCCCTCTCACATTCCCAGTTCCTTTCTTTCTCTTTTTCTTTCGCAGCTTTACGGACAATTTCATTTTTGTACAAGGAAAAAAATAATTCTTTACAAAATAAACAAAAGTTTACTTTATTTGTAGTGTATTTTCTTTTTATTATTTGTTTGAGGGACTTCTTTGCACCCTCTACAGGTTAAAAGCTGAAATTAATGCCGGATTTTTGTTTATAGGTTTTATAAATAATAACAAATTTTTAACGTTCGGTATTTGTGGACGAAAATCAGTTTTAAAAATTGTAACGTTTATCCGGTTATCATTCAGTCATTTTTAATCGCTAAATTCAAACATTTTCTTTCATGATCCTGAATGAATGTTCTTCGCTTTCATTATTTTTTCGCTTACAATGAGTTCCATCTATTCCCAAGTATTTTTTTTCTTAAATGTTTTCTTGTCAGATTTGCTACACCAATAATAGTTATTCCGATTCCAAAAAGAATTTCTCGAGATTTCATAAAATTAAACGAGTGAAGGCTATTATTTATATATATATATATATATATATATATATATATATATATAAAGATTTTCTAAAAAGAAACGTTTCAAAAATAATTTAATTCATTTTTGAATGAGTCCTGAAAGTTTCACTAAAATCCAACAGTTATCTGATTTTTGCAAGAATTTCCAAACCAATGTTTGAGCGCTTTTTTGTTAAAAATAGCTTTCAGATTTCCCCTACAAATTTATGCACTCGCATCAACAAAAAAAAAAAGATAGATTTTTAACCAAAAACTTCCAGGTTTCTAAAAAGAATGAAAAATATATTTTTATATAAAATATCCTTTGATCTTTCTTAAAGATAGAATTAATTTCCTAAATAAGACAAAGATTTTGACGATATCCGGGATTTTTTTTTTTTTTTACGGTGGGGGTAGGGGCAGTACCTAAAGCATCATTTGGTTGACATTTAAAATGGCAGGTAGAACTCATTCTGACACTATGGATAATTTGTTGAATTTACTCTATTGGAAATTCTGGAATAAATCGAACTGACTCAAGGATATAAAATAAATAATATATTTTTATTTATTTTCTTTAGACTAATAAGTTAGTCCTTTTGATATTCAGTGTCACACAAAAATGTTCGTTTATAAGGCGAATATTGATAGTAGGATTTGAGGAAGTTTGGAGTTGGTAGTTTTTAAAGTCAGACTATAGTAGGGGTAATAGTAATATTAGAAAGTAGGTCAGTATGAATCTACAAGAAGCGGAAATATCATTAGCAAATGATCTCTAAACGACTTCTTCATTTGTCATGCATGTCTGGTTTCTCTGAGGTAGTGTCTGTTCATCAATTTCTTCTTCTTCTTACAAGTGTTTCATAACGAACCCCAGTTTGGTAAATTTATGATCGAAAAATGTTATCTCGGCAATAATTTAACTAAAAATCATGGCTCGAAACAGCGAAACGGTTTTCAAAAAATGCAGATGGGATAGAAAGTATTTTTACTTGGTAACTCTTTTAGTGGAGAAATCTCAACAATTTATTTAGAGACGATCTTGTAAAAACTGTCCAACTCAGCGGAAGCCCAGCGGTTAAAAAGTCAACCGAGAGACCCCACTAGTTACGAACCGAGATAAAGTTTAAAAGATATTTTTAATAAAAACGATAATATTAAAATTGTATGAGGAAAAAATAATTAAAATAGTGTAAGAATATAGAGATTATTTTAATAAAAAAAAATTAATATTGAATTTTAAAAATAATCAAGAAAATTAAAATGTTACCAGAGTCGGCGTCAGAGTCTCACGCCCACCAAAAAAATAACTTTGATACTGGTCCTCCTTCTCTACAACATGTCTATTTCAAAGATTCACAACCTGAGGACCACAAATTCTTGAAGGAAAATTGGTGGGGAAGGATAGCACTTTTTTTTTAAATTACCAAAAATCAGGGATTTATCGATTTTAAATGAAAATTTCACTACATATTCGTTAATTATTTACTTTTTTAATCAGTAGGTTTTTATTTAAAAAAAAAAAATCTGAGAAAATGTAATAACCAACAAAATTTTCATGACTAAATTTTACTGGAAAAAATTTGTTTATGTTGCAAATTTTTACATTTCCGTAAAGACTAAACGCCGACGTATCACCGCTGAAAAAAAAGTTAGACAAAGATCCCAACACAACACAAACGGGATTGTCTATATTTCTGAGATGAGGTATTATGTACATTATTTACATTATTCGGACTATTATCCTCATCTTTGTCGCCATATTTATCACAACGTTTCGGCCGGTGTACGCTCCGGCTTTCTTCAGGTGGTTAGAATGTCGAACTGAACTCTGAAAAAAAAAACATGAATGAAAATCGCTGTGTAAATATTTGAAGAAAAAATAGGCTCCAAATTGATGTTATAAAACTTCGCTAAAATGAAGCCAGACGGTTTAAATTTTCCGTGACAATAATCTTGCAGGATGGGTCCAGCTTTGAAGTTTTCAAAAACTAGTCAAATTTGAATTGAAGACGGATTCACTGTGAGTAGATGGTGACTCGATTTTCAGTCTGAGTCAAAACTTTTGACTCAAAAGTTTTCTCTGCTATACTTGAACCCATAGATGAAAGCGTTGTTTGAAGGACCCAAAAAGTGACTTGACCCAAAGAGTTGTGAGTTCAATACCTGGCTACATCAGAGGGAACAAACATTTAGAGAGTTGAGTTACTAAAGGGAATTATCTGAAACAGATATCCAAAGGTATGGCACGTGTAATTAGAACAATTTACCCCCGTGAACTAAATAAAGAGTTCAGTTCGAAATTCCTGCGTATATCACCTGAAGAAGGCCGGGGCGTACAACGACCGAAACGTCGCGAGTATGACAATAAAGACGGGGACAACCGTCCGAATAGTAAATAGTTTAAATGTAAAAGTTTCTTATTTTAAATTTATCTTCAACATCTTGTAGAATCTCCCAAAACACAACCAGCCTTACCTCTTTGTAGGAAATGCACTCTTCCTATCTGGTAAGCCAAATTCTACTTTCAGACAATATAACAAGTATTCATTGGTCAATCACCTCCAATCTGGCTTGCTGATTGGTCAGTTCCGACCAATCAAACCGCCTGCACGCGACCAATCTGTTTTCCCTCTCATATGCTGGGAGCCACTCAGTGATTATATAAACAGAAATCGTGTGAACCTTCCGTGTAGTATTACCAAGTTTCAAGATGTAACATTCACCGACTCCCGTCTTAGTCATTGCTGACCAGACGTTAAAGACAATTACCAACTTTAAGCAGTCAGTAACAAGCACCCACAGAGACCTTTCCAAAATACTCCACGTCACTAAGAATCACGATTTTTCCGCGCAAAAGATACATCAACGCTGACTCATACTCGATCAAGATTTAATCAACTCTGTGTACATCAGTTCTCAACATTGCTTATCTAAAGTGAATCAAATTCGCTACTTATTAAGTAAACACTAACGAACGAACGACCTTAGAAAGACATTACATTACAGTTAAAGGTAGATAACTCTTAAAAAACTCTTTCTATAAGACACTTGATATCAACAATCGCAAATATCGACACAAAAAAAACTGCGAATGAACGAACAATTACGAAAAGAGACATGCTGAGATCTAAAAAACTGCATACACATTTCGCCTACATAACACATACCAATTATCCTGTTGTATATAGCTTTGATTTGTATATAAATGTTGTGTTGATTTCTAATTGAATATGTCTCGTTTTTCAATTGCATTTTAAATTTCGTTTATTTATTTGTTTGGGATGCAGAAAGACACGCAACCGACTCAAATTCTTTCTGATTCTTTCTAACATAATTACTAAACTCTGCACGTCCCCAACAATCTTCTTTTCATAATGTGACGATAACTGCCATTAAAAGGTTCTTACGTATTATTCACTGATTTTTTTTTCCAGATTGAAGGCCTTGGTTATTCTTTTCCAACTTTGCGACTCCCTGTCTGGCTCATCTTTTACTTTGGTAAATTTTCTTAATCACTTTCTCTAGTGGGATGAACAGTTGTTGAATAGAAGTCTTAATGTGTATTGATGAAAATTACAAATGTACTATTTAGCATGTAGCAGTTTGCTGTAGTACTATTTATTGTTGTATGCGACACAAGTGATTTACTGGGGACTAAAACGTCCCGCGGAAGAGAAACGAAAACCGTCTTTTTCCTTATAGAGAGAAGATTAGAGCAAGTTGGATTTCGTTTCTTAGTATAGACTCTTCTTCTTTTATATGCGCCTCTTCATCCTCCTTTGACATCATTACAACAATTACAGTGACCTCGAGTGGCTCTTGAGCTACTAGGAGATCTACATTTTTTTAAATTTTTTTTAAATGATGGAATAAGCGTTTTTAATATATTTTGTTTGAGTTTGACACATTTGTGGACTCTTCCACAACAAGCCAGTTAACCCCTGCTAGGAAATGCACTATTCCTGTTGTAATTTTCACCATCACAATCTTACAAAATATACTCGGAGCCTCCTATATGATACACGACCATATAAAAACAAAACACGTGTAAGCTCCCTGTTGTTTCCTTTTCTCTCTCGTGTCTTATTTGCCAAGATGTAATCTTCAAGAACTCCCGTCTTAACTAATGCAGTCAGACGTTAAAGACCATTACCAACATTCACGCAAGTACGAACTCTGGAATCTCTTCTGAACTTTTACCAACTTGTACAATACACAATTCCAAACATGCTAAAGAAACTTTATTCTTCTAAACTACAGTTTAATAATTACTTTCACTTTATGAGCTTAGGTACAAATATTACCTAATCTAAGAGACACAACTCTGTCTAAACTTTTCACTCAGTATTCATGCATGTATATCAAACACTAATAAATTCAATTGTTACGTTTTGAAACAAGATGTTTATGAATCTTTATTCTCTATCTTGAATTAATTGTTGTGGATGGAAGATTATTAAACACACAATTTTAAGCCTTCTGATAATTTAAACCTTTTATTCCTCTCCAACACACATCACACATATCCACAACACATTTTTCGTTCCCTCACAATTTACACTGCAATGGCGGTGATAAATCTTAATCATAGGGATCGGGTATATATTTAAACATTTCAAATTATAAATTCAGTTCATGTGCCAAGCTGCAGAGTTATTGATCCATTCGCTTAATCTCTTTTATGTTCTTATATTATTTTATTTTTATCTCAATTAATTTTTAATTTAAAATGTGAACGTTTTCTTCCGATCTAAGGGAGATAACTGCAAGGTGAAGAGCGATTTAAAGATGGCGCTTACCGTTAACGTCATCGATGTAAGTATTTGTTTCGGAGGATATATGGGGATATTTCTTTTGTTTACCTAAGTCTATTTTCCAGAAAATGAAAAAGAAATCGTTCTAAACGTCTCTTTTATGAATAACTTGTATAATTTACATTCATCTGAGAATATTTACTCCAAAATATTCGTCATAACACACGTGTACAGTCTTCTTCTTTGTTGCTTATTCCCCGTCGGGACACCAGATTGAAAATTTAAAGATCATTTTAATTTAAAATATTTCTTTCATTTTTTTATATATCAGCTGCAGAATCTTAATTTAATTTCCTGATAATTTAGATTATTGTTTATGAGTTTATCTTTTTCATCGTTTATAGATTATCACTAATAAACTACAGTAAAAACATAATGAATATTTTCCTTTTACTGATATATTGTAGTTCTGTAAGATCTTAAAAAGAAACGTTTCAAAAATAATTTCATTTATTTTTCAGTAAGTCCTGAATCTTTCATTAAAATCCGACAATTATCTGATTTTTGCAAGAATTTCTAAATCAATGTGTTTGTCACCGCGAAAACACGTTCAAATTTTCAGTACAGTGTAACCCGGATATAAGAGAGATTTTCTCTGGTCCCAAATTAGAGCCTGTGTTAATGTATATAAAATAGTCCAAACCCAGATATAAGAGACTTCTTCTCCGGTCCCGACATCTCTCTTATATCCGGGTTACACTGTACTAATTTATGGTCCCCATCTTTGACGCGATTTTTAAACCAATATTTCGAAGGTTCTAAAAAAGATTTAAAAAATAACTTTTACATAAAAAGTCCTTTGTTTTTTTTTCCTCTTAATAATAACGAAGATTTTGAAGATTGAACTTCTTTGTTGGGGAATTTTTCATCATGTTATGCTCATTTTTTAGCGAATCTTTGGAGAATTTATACATCTGTTACCTTTCACTTACTTATTTCTATGAAATTTCTATAACATTTATATTCGTTATCAGGACATACCCTCAGAATTTAAATCACATTTTCAGGGACAAAAATCCTTTTTAAAGAAAATCAGCTCAGAATCATAAAAATAAAATAAAATTAAGACATTATTTAATTAGAAAAGTTTTTAATTGCTTTTATGAATAAAATATATTATGGAAACTGTCTTAAAAAATTTTTTTTATTTTTTGACTAATAATGAATTATTACAAGAATTGTATTCATATTTTTAAATTTTAATTAGAATGATTTATAAACTTTAAAAATTCTGTATTAGTCTGTAGGTTCCAAATGATATTGTTATTAAATAAATACCATATTTACTAATGATCAGTTGGTGGTGACTCAGAAGTTCCAGCATTGTCATATCCATCCACACTTTGGTGTCATCTGATTAGCTTTTATATTGTCATCTACCTTCAACAGTGCTTTGCATGCTGGTCATGCAGAAGCTGTCATGCTGTGTGACATGGCTAAACCAATCATTAATAATGGCAAGAAGAGATTCCTGTCAACTCACAAGACTTTTGACCTTGCTTCATACATAGACATTGGTTTGGAGCTCCCAGTAGGAAATGCAGAGGTGCTTTCTCAAGCATTTGTTCTGGAATGCTTGGATCCTTTTTTTTTCTGCCTTAACTAGTAGTGTCCAAGTCTCGCACTCAAAGAAGAGGATAGATACAACCAATGATTTGTAGAGCTTGAAATGGAAGCTGATGTTGCTCTTCCATATCCTTTCCAGTCGGATCATTGTGGCTGTGGCGATCCATGTGCAGATTTCTGCATTGTAGATGCCATCTTTTGACAGAGTTGCTCTTAGGTATCTGATCTAGACACTTCCTCCAGTGGTTCACTGTCTCTGGTGACGCTGATATTAGTGTTGCTTATGCTATTCAACATTACTTTGGATTATTCCGTGTTCAGTTTGATTCCCGGAGGAGGGTGTCTCTTTCTACTGCATAGCATCAACGACTGAAGCAGTCAATGAACTGATGATTATACTAATCATAAATGAAAACTACAATTCTCTGCTCCCCAATATTTTAAAAAGTATTTTAATCTTTACGGTGGAGTATAAAGAAACCAACTTTCATAAATGCTGATGTCTACAGGATGCGATGTATAAATTGTCATCTAAATGATGCAAAAATTAATATAACACTGACATCTTATCTAAAAAGATATTTTTACCAAAATTACACGAAAATATCTTGAAATACTAAAGAGTAAATTCATTCAATAAAATTGCCATTAGCTTCAACTACGGCTTCCAGATGACTTTAGAATTTCTTGCAACTCTTCTGGATGTTCTTGTTTAAGCTGGTGAGTGCTGCCATAATCCTTGACTTCAGTTCATTTTTGGTGTTACAAGGAGTTTTGTTGGTCAACTGTGCCCAACGCATAATAATTAAGGGTGTTGCAATCTGAGGAGTTAGGTAGGCAGATGTAATGGGTGATGTGGTTGCAGAAATTGTCTGACAGCCATGACTGGGTTCTCCTGCTTATGTGGCATGGTGCAGAGTCCTGTTGCCAGACATAGGCTCTTTCAGCAACCACCCTCTTGACCCAGGGCAGCACCACCTGCTCAAGGCACTTGATGTAGGCTTTTGTGTTGAGTCTGAGGCCCTGCATAACATCGCCATCACTATTGATCACCTGAAACACTGTTGTAATCACCATTAGACTCCTCCAACTCTTTCTCTGCACTGTTCCCAGAGTGACACTCAAATACTCTGAATTCTGATGTGAATGATAAGCAGTAGAGCATGCAGTTTCCAAATTTCTGGCAGAGTGAATTGTATCATGGTATTCTTTTTCTCACAGATGAGGCCCAAGTGACCCTACTATACTGTGCCATCAACAAAATTTTTAAAAAATCATTGCACATGCGTAAAATTAAAAATATAAAATGGCGACAATTTACACATCGCACCTTGTATGTATAGTCTTATCAGAAAATAAGACCAGTAACATTTAAAATTTATTAGTAATTTTCTAACATTTCTTCAAGCATCTTCCTGTGTAAGATATCAAGCCAAGGTACCTGAAATTCAATGCTTAAAACATTTTAAATTTTTAAAATTACTGAGTAGTTAAAAAAAATTAAATAATAAAGGCATTTACATTGTATATGTCAAGTAATTTTATTACAATTATTTGCCCCTTAGATAAATTTCCCAAACACCTGGCTGTCAACAAGTGGGTCAACACCTCATAAAAACACCTACCTCCGTGTTAAATGCTTCCTTGCAATATTTTAGACTAAAATTAAGTAATATTTTTTTTCAATTTAGATAAATTAAACTTTAAATCAGTTAATTTTTCTCAAATAGCATTTCAGAAAAGTATATTTTATTTTTGAAAGATTCTTTTTAATAAAAAGAAAGTTATTATGATATGTCAATATGGATGATTTTTTTTATTAATTTTACTGATAATTAGAAAAAATCATTCTAATCAATTTAAATTTGGTTTGAAATACAGCAAATTATTTTGCTTTTTGGAAATATTAAATTTAATCTATTAACTTGCAATTAAAACTAAAATATAAGCGTCAAGAAAGATTTTCATTTTTTAAAACGCATTTTAAACCTTAAGTATCACTTGTTTTTTGTTTTTTAAGGTACAAGAAAACACTTTAAACAAATATAAGGACAACGGAAAACAAAGTGAAACTTTCTAACATCCTCCACCAACATCAATACTTTAGTCGAAAAATAGCAATAGATACATTATAGCAATAGCCATAAAAATAATTTGTTTATTAAACTTTGTCTTTAAATGGTTTGTTGTTAGAGAAAAATATCTGGTTTGTTGTTAGAGAAAAAAATCTGGTCCCAGTTAGAGCAATGGCTATCAGCACAATGAGTGGAATCAGCATGCAGGTTGTCTGAGGTTGGATAGCAGTGAATGTAGAATTCCAACCATTGAAAATCAGACTGGGCACTTTAGCCTTCGTCAGAGCAGCCAGTCTAAGAGAAAGACAACACTGATTTCAAAACTAGTGTGAAGATAGATGGGCTTCTTCTGACCCTCGACACATGCACTGCTGCTATAACTCCACTACTTGTGTCCTTCCAATGACCCTAAATGAAATACGAGACGCGTGATTATGAATCTCACACAATCACTTGAGTCTCATAAAATCAATAGTCATTTTATCAGCAGCGAGGTGGTGGGACCTTGGGAAAGGTATGAATTCGTCTCTTGTTCCCTCAGGTATGGGTTAATTAGTAGTATTGTATTGGTAAATCATTATCTCCAAAAAATTCTTACAATCTATAAAATATTTTCTGGCTTTAAATAACCTGCAAGAAGGTTAAGCCTTAAAAAATGATCAATGAATAGATCAAAAACATCGCGCAAATTTAAGCACTAAGAAGTGCTTATTAATATTTAAATAATATTCTTCTAAGCAAATGCAACTTATTTTTTAATACCGTATTCTTTCAGGATACAGCCGTTCATAGCTCTCCACAACTTCCTTTTTTGTAATATCAGTAAATATTCATAACTGTTCTTGGGGAAAATAGTAGTTTCCCCTTGCCTTCAACATGATTTTGAATTCAAAGTTGTTGTTCATCTAAACCTGCTGCCCTACCAAAGTTAGAGAGTCCAGTCTCCCCTACTATTTCACATATAATTAGGAAGATAAAAATATGAAATCATACCTTTCCTTAAGGGTATTAATACAAAATGAAATGGATTTGGCTCTATTTTCTGTACAAACAACAATTATGTTACTTGTGTATGCTAATTTACAAGATCCAAATCCATTAATCATTTTTAAATATGGCACCATAATTTCCTTGGAATATTTTACCAATAAATGTGGTATATAGGATTTACTAAGTATGTTATTTAATATGCCAAAAAAATGGTCCTTGGTATTGGTTAACCCCTATAAATATCAATATGCCAAAAAAAAATGGTCCTTGGTATTGGTTAACCCCTATAAATATCAATATACCAAAAAAAATGGTCCTTGGTATTGGTTAACCCCTATAAATATCAATATGCCAAAAAAATGGTCCTTGGTATTGGTTAACCCCTATAAATATCAATATGCTAAAAAAAAATTTGGAATCAAATACCTGACTATTTTTACATCTTGAAATATCTCCTTTCAGCTGCCCTCACAGAGCTGATCCGCAATTTGGTTGCCAACATCTATAACTTTCAGCCATTTATACAGTAACTATAAGCTTAAATTACAAACTCAAACTTTCCACTGCATTTTCCAATAGTTCAAAACCAAAAGGATACTATAATGAATTCGGAGGCATGACTTCTAAAATCCAGAATTTGTTAACATTCACATATAGTAAAGAAAGAAAAATGCTTTTCAAGCTCTTTCTCAGATTCCCCTTCCTCCCCATAGTGATAGGATGTGACACAAGGTTGATTTAATCAGGAGTGTCCATACATGTATATATTAGCCAAGGTTCACACTATGATGTTAGTGTTGCTAGCAATCTATCAGTCCTCTCTCTTTTGTGCAATGAGGTAGATGCTGCTGTGAAACTGACTCAGATGCTCACATAGAAGTGGATGTGGCGTCTAAGTGTTTTATGACCAGCAATAAAATCTATGAAATGGAGTCTTTGAAAGCAGCCACCTAGTTGATCAAAAGAGAATAAAATAATATAAATAAATGAAAACGTTTGATAACAAGTGACAACAAACTGGATGTTGAAGACTTCCGCTTTCAGTTGCATTTGTGATTGAAGTATTGAGGTTGAGGATCTCACTGTCAAGGTATTTCCGATCCCTACTATATATATATATTTAGGAAGATAAAAATATGAAGTCATGCCTTTCCTAAAAGGCATGACTTCATATTTTTCCAAAATGAAGTAGACTTGGTTCTACTTTTTACATCAACAACAATTATACTACATACATATCCTAATTTACAAAGCCAAAACCTATTAATTCCACCTAAATCTGAAAACTTCCACTTGCAGTTGCATTTGGGATAGAAGTGGGGGCTTGGCTGCAGACTAACATCACGATTGACGTAGTCCTGATGTTGCCCATGCATCATTAGGTAGATAGGCACAGGGTTCAGATGATAAACTCAGACTTCTTATTGGTTGAGGAGAAAAGCTTATTTGTTAAGTTGAGATGTCAAAAGTGGCAGAAAATGTCCCAAGAGTTATCTACCTATCCAGATCGTGCAAGAGAACCCCCAAAATAAACAGTGAAATATATTGGAAAGTTTCAGTCTTTTTTTCTCCCTGCGGCATTTATTTTCTCTTTTTGCTTCTTTTCCGGCTCTTTTGCACACCAACTTGAATGAAAATAGAAAAGCAACATGGTGTTTCATTGTCTGGTTAGTGAAAAGCTTGTAGTATGCCCCATTGCATGTTTACACTGCCACAGATATAAAATCCCCAAGGCCAAGAAGAGTAAGAGAACAGGTACTACACTTTGATCCTAATCCAAAGACCACGATATTTAATGGCCTCACTATGTGGGTCGTATGTGGCACAAGGCCAATTTAGCGTGAGTTCTCCGAGCCCTAGGCTCGGCCAAAAATATTCCCATTTGAACCAGTATAAACAGGTTCAGGGTCTGTCTACCTCCCCTGAGGAATCTTTGCCCCTCGGAAAAAATTTGTCCCGGTTCCTCTCTACCAAGGCGGAGAGTTTGACAGCAATGAACAGTTTGGCACTGCTCCCAAAGACCACTGATGCATTAATTCTGTTAAATTGTATAAATAAATACTTCAATGATGTTAAGAATAATAGCTGTTTCCTGATAAGGAAACATTTGCCATTTACTGACTAAGCTGTAAGTGCTATTTTCAGTTGAAATTTCTAAAATCTATTAAAACAAATTTCAGGAAAACAAGTTTTTCAGGTCCATTAACTTATTACTCTTTCCAGTAAATATACAGATGTGCAGGTGGTGTAATGGGTATGGTACTTGGAATGAGAAGTTGGAGGGCCGAGTTCAAATTTCAGTCTAGTTCATTACATTCACTTATGTGCAAATACCCTTGAGAAAGGTATAAATTCATCTACTCCCCTCAGCTATGGGTTAAATAATAGGGCATATCTAGAAAACATTGGTATTCTCTGATGCAATAATAGCTTGCAAAAAAAAAGAATTATTCTTACAATTTCAAAATGTTTCAACTTTAAATATTCTCTCAAAAAAAAAAAAAACTCAAATCAATCGACTGTAAATATGTTATATCAGAAGGGACAATGATTTTGTTTACTGTTTTTAAATACAAAAAAAATGGTCCTTGGTATTGGTTAACCCCTATAAATATCAATATGCCAAAAAAAATGGTCCTTGGTATTGGTTAACCCCTATAAATATCAATATGCCAAAAAAAAATGGTCCTTGGTATTGGTTAACTCCTATAAATATCAATATGCCAAAAAAAAAATGGTCCTTGGTATTGGTTAACCCCTATAAATATCAATATGCCAAAAAAATGGTCCTTGGTATTGTTAACCCCTATAAACATCAATATGCCAAAAAAAATGGTCCTTGGTATTCGTTAGCCTCTATAAATATCAATATGCCAAAAAAAATGGTCCTTGGTATTGGTTAACCCCTATAAATATCAATATGCCAAAAAAAATGGTCCTTGGTATTGGTTAACCCCTATAAATATCAATATGCCAAAAAAAAAAATTACCTGACTATTTTTACATCTTGAAATATCTCCTTTCAGCTGCCCTCACAGAGCTGATCCACAATTTGGTTGCCAACATCTATAACTTTCAGCCATTTCTAACTTGCACTGAGGTAAGACATGTTTCCATATTTTATTTAAATTCTATAATATCCTGCTCAAAAGGGAAGATGATGAATCACCACCCCCTATCCACTGTCACCAAAAAAAAAAAATAACTGCACAGTGCAGTAATTTAAAATTTGTCTTTGATTTTTTTTTCTTTATTGGCAAAGAAATCATCTGAAATTTGTTTCACAAGAAAATGGTACACATTATTTAAAACTATTTACAGACTATCGTCATCTTTAAAAAGACAAGGACAATAGTTTGAATGATAATTTCTCATCCCAAAAATTCAGACAGAAAATGTTATTCGTTTTAGATCTTTTTAAAAAAGTTAATGTTTATATTGTATCTCCACTCTGTTTACATTATTCGGACTATTGTCCTCATCTTTGTCATCACTGGGATAGACTGTTCTAGTTCCACGTGTCATGTCTAATGGATGTCAGTTATCTCCTGTTAATTCCCCTCTGAAAGTTCTCCACTGCCTTAACCAGGTATTGAACTCACACTCTTTGGGTCTTGTCACTGGATCTAACTAACACCTTTATCTACTGTGCCATATGTCCTTCAGCGAAATAAAGGGTTCAGTTTGACATTCCAACCCCCTGAAGAAGGTCGGAGTGTACAACAGCCGAAACATTGTGATAAACATGGCGACAAAGATGAGGACAACAGTCCGAATAATGTAAATAGTGTACATACCTCATCTCAGAAATATAGACAAATACATCTCCACTATGTATACTATTTACACAAATGCAAATCTTAACGTTTTGAAACGCTAATTAAAACTTTTAAAGTAGCAAGCAGGAAAAAAATGTGTTCTTTAAAATTAATGCATTGATTGTCCAACTGAAGTGTAAAGAATAAATCCCTTTTCTTTTTGGGGGCTTATGGTCATATCATGTTGAAACACCAGTTTTCATACGATCACCAAAGTTAAGCAATGTTGAAACTGGTCAGTACCTAGATGGGTGACCACTTGGGAATACCAGTTGCTGTAAGCCTGGATATACGGTTGGTGTAATAGATAACAGCTCAGAACTGTTAATTGGAGAGCTGAGTTCCAATTCCAGTTAGGTTTGTTATATTGATTTCTGCAGAAATACCCTTTGGAAAATTATGAATACTCCTTCTCTCCCCAGCTATGGGTTAATTAGTATGACTTGTATTAATAAAAATCATTACGATCTCCAAAATATTCTTCCAGCATAAAAATATTTTCTGGCTTTAAAACCTGCAAAAGGTTGATAAACCATAAAAAAAACAAATCAATCCATTTCATTTTTGTTTAAAATATAATAATCTCTCCTTTATTTGGAATGGAGTCTTTGAAATATCAAACTAGATCAAATTGGAAAGAGCATATTATTTCTAAACTAGAATGTACAAAGAGACAAACACTTAAAATTCGAAGCAGTTCTCTCCCAACCATCAGCAACCAACATTGAAAAATATCAGTTTTATGTAGCCACAGATAATCAAATATCACTAACAGAACTTCCATGCAATATGATACCATCTGTCTTCTCCAAACAGCCAATAATAACCCTTACCTCCAGCGGACACACTCTAGTCAAGGTCTTTTTCATGTTAAGTCTGGTTCTCTTCTGCCGTATTTTCTTGTCGATATGACCCTATGTTTTTGAAGCTAAAAACCTGGAATTAATTACATCCTTAAATGTAATATGACCTCATAGTATAGTCAGCCCTATGTAAATTTTTTAAATGTTGTACTATATTCATTCAAATTTTAATATTATATATATATATATATATATATATATATCACTAAAATAAAGTGGAACCTCTCATCATGAACAAATCTTACAAACAAAAAACATCTCAGGTAACAAAAGGTGTCTTGAGCAACAAATATGCAGGCCAGTGAAATTTGTGCAAAATAGGGCGAGGTGTAAAGTTTCATGCAATGATATCACTCTAATAAAGCAGTAGCAAGCCACAGCATAAACATTTTTAATGACAACGCCATGTCTCACTTTGGAAACATTTTAATACATAGACAATAGCAAATGCTATTGGACGAATTTTTAGTGGAACAGAGGTTCAGTCTCAAGCAGAGTCAAGTGACCTGAGGAGACAGAAAAGAGAAAGAGAAGAAATCCCAGAAAGACAGTTACCCAATGATTTTAGGAAAAGGGAGTCCCCTTCCAAAAATAACATCTCTCTCCTTCCACACCATCAACTCTCTCTCTCCCGTACAGATCCAGTAAAATTAAATTAAGTTTTCATTTTTATTTTATCTGTTTAGTATTGTTTTTCCTTTTTTCTCAGATTTAATGGATTTCATTGGTTTTGTTTATGAACTTGTGCACAAAATACTGTCACAAAATTTTAAATAAGCAATCATCAGGAACAAAATAATCCATTTTACATTGATTCTTATAAGGAAAATCAGTTTCGGTTTACAAACCTTTGTCACGACCGACATTTATGAAATAATTAAATCCATGAACTGAGGTTCCGCTGTATTTTTCACGATATTAAAGAATAAAAATGAACCAGATGTTTAGTCATTTTGTGTTTTTTTTCTAATTTCTGTTTCAAAAGTTATTTTCATACTTTTTGGGGAAAGGTGCTTTGTTGTATTGTCAAGACATGTCAGTTCTTGTGTATATTTTTTGTTAAATTTTTTAATCAGTTTTGGTGAATTTGCTCTCTTTGAGACAAAAGATGTTCAGTTAAAAATCCATTCCTAAAGAAAAAATATTGCCAACAGACCAAATACCTTTTATAAACAATTGTTAACAACACCTGCCTACTTTGTGATTATCTATTTTGCTAATTGAGCGTATTTGCAATCTTGCTATTTCAAATAAGCTGATGTAGTTTCTGAAAGTGCGTACTTGTTTATAGTATGATCCCCACTTTTTTGCCTTTAATTTTTGTTCAAAATTTCTCATATTTTACACAAGAAAATACAGTACATAGAATGAAAACAAATTTATTGAGATGAGATTAGTTTAGAAAAGTAATGACCACCATCAACAATTCCATAGTATAAAGATAAATTAGCTATTCTGTAAAAAAAAATACAACCAGGTCAAATGTGTCCTATTTAAATACAGCTGTTGAGCCATCAACAATTGCAGCAAATTTAAAAAAAAAAAAAACATTCACAAGTTAAAATATTGTGAAGTTGTATATTCTTGTTAAGTTGAAGAAGCAGCATTAAGTCTCTGAGTTTATACCACCAAATTAGGACATGTGAGTTCAATTCCTGAGCTGGGCTGTATAAAATATTGTATACTCTTGTTCAGTGATATCACAAGGTTGATAACTGAGGTGAGATATCCTCTAACCTGGAGATAACAATTTACCCCTCTAAAGTAAATAATGGGTTTGATTTGAAATTCCAAGGTTACAAATTATAAGAGACTAGCAGTAGAGCCTGGCGTTGCCCGGGGATGTAACAGTAAGAGATAGATAAAGACTGAAAAATAAAATTGACAAAGATTATTGTTTAAGGTTGACGGATACGCATGTCTTAATTAGTTCTTTTTTTGTTTTGTTTTTTTTTTTTTTTGTTTGTTTTTTGTTTTTTTTTACGAATTGGTCAAACCGAAACTCAAACAAAAACATTGTTTTCAATCATTATAAGTCTACCGATTGAATAGAATTTTATTATAAACAATTGTCTTGCAAATGGAATTTTTAAAGCATTCTGAATGTAAAAATAAAGAAAAAAGTGTGCAAGACAATAAGAAACACTACCTGCCAAAAAATAATTGAAGTTTTGTTGAAATTGGTTGAAAAATGTAGGAAATCCGATCCCATATATAAACAAACACAGACACACACACACAAACAACCTGGGTTTTATAATAAGTATAACTCGATATGAGTTGTCTCCCTTTCATTCTCGACAGCGATGCCTCTTAATCGTGTTTTCAAATTGATTTTGTTCAAAAACAATTGTGTTTTTCCAATTTTTGGCACTGTCAGAACCACCACAAGGTAATTTTACATAGTCCTGTGAAGTTTTGTTGAAATCGGTTGAAAAATGTAGGAAATCTGATCCAATATATAAACGAACAGACACACACACACACACACACACACACACACACAACCTGGGTTTTATAATAAGTATGATACCTGAAGAGCGCTAAAAAGTACAACAGTCAAAATGGGATTAAACAACTACGATGGAACATGAAACTGGGTAATTTTTCCAACAAAATAAATGTACTGGGTAAGGGGGGGGGGGCTTCTTTTTCATATTTTTGATCAGGAGACCAAGAGACTTACTAAAGTCTTAGTAAAAAAAAAAAAAACATCATTTAATCGACTTGTAAATAAAACTAAAGAATTCTTTTTCCAATAATATTAGAAATAACTCCCCCTACCACATAATGAGTTGGGGATTACATCCGTATCAGGTTGAAATAAATCCTGCCATAAATGGATACAAAATGCAATTATTGTCTGAGTACTTTTAATGACAGCTGTTTTGAATCAATAGTAAAGCATGTGTAACAGATTTGTTATCGTGTCTTTAATATGTTGTAACTTGGTGGGATAATAAGCAGGTGCTGCAATGGTTAGAGGCTCTGATTGGGAAATTGACAAGCAGAGTTCAAATTTCAGTCAAGGTTGCTACATCCAATTTCACACAAATGCTCTCAGAAAGGTGGCAAGCCCATCTCTACTCTCATCAGCTTAAATCACAGGGAAGATTGTACTTTCTAGCTGTGGCCAGCAACTGGTATATGAAAAGGACAAATCTGAATGCAAAATCATGTGGCTGTAAGGTCCATGTATAGTTGTAGTTTAAATCACAGGTTGGTTTAAGAAAACCCAAATAAATTGAACAGCATTTTTTTAAACAGTCATGATGAGAATTTACACTGATTATCAGTGGCACTTTGAAGTCAAAGCTGCCGTGATGAAGACTTTGCTGCTAAAGCGAAAATTTGCTTAATAAAAAAATAGATTGAGTTTTTTTTTTGTTTTTTTTAATGATATTTTTAATCTGTGCTTAACTAAATTACCTCCCACTCTCTCAAAAAAAAAAAAAAAAAGAACTCATATTCAAGTAAAATATTTTCAATTTAGTAACTTCTAATCAGTCTACAAAAGAAAGAAAGAAAGAAAGAAAATAATGAACAGAATTAGCAATTTAAAAGCCACTTTCCCCAATCATTACTCTTATCAATGTTTGTCACAAATCATGTTACTTCTTGCTATATTCCGTGCTAATAGGAATATATACTTGAAAAACAAAGTGGATAAAATAAATAAAGGTTTATTGTAAAAATCAGTACAATAAGAATAAAGGTAACAGTTATGCACAAGGTCGTTGCAAGTCAATCCAGTAGTGGGTGCTACTATTGGAAGGTAGGTAGTTCTCGCGTAAGTCTGAGTTCCTCTCTGCCCAAAGGCAGAGAGTTCGATGGTTTAGCTCGAACAGATTGCAGTTAGCCTCTGTAGTCCATTGACTTACAGATACTTATAGGTAATTACTACTTATAGTGTAGTCACTCATGGGGGTGACAGGTTATTCCATTACATCACTTTTTTTTATTACTACTTTGCCAACAGTTACTTAAGATCCACACAAAAACTTCTTATATATATATATATATCTATATATATGAAAAGATTACTTCTAAATATGAATTTTATCTCTTTTATAGTTTTATATTAATGCTCTATTTCTAATATTTTTAGATTTTTAATATTGAGCATTATATATAAAAATGTCTGCTGTTTCTTAAATTATATATATATATATATATATATATATATATATATATATATATATATATATACACACACACACACACACACACACACATGCACAAGGAATGGGTAGGGTCACCTAGGCTATCATCCAGTTCACACTCCTCCTTGTCTTTTTAAACAGTAGAGGTTTATTCCCTGTTCCTTCTAAAGTCTCAGTTCTCTTTCACTCCCAGTAACACGTTGCATCTTAGTGGCATTATCGCCTTGCTTGTGAGGAGAGTATTGATTAAAAACAATTATATATTTATTTTAAATAAGGTGTATTTAGGTAAGAATTATTTCAAACCTGCTTTGTTAAATCATATTGACGAGTTCTGTCCACCCAGTTTTTGAATGTTTTTAAATTTCTGAGTTAGTTCTTTTTTATAATCAGTAAATTTACCAAATTTCACCACCACCCAGTATTTTCAAATGTTACTATATTAGTTTTCAATTTTCTTTCTGTTTATGTAACTGTTTTTGGCTAATTCTGGAAATATTATATATATATATATATAATTATCTATTTAAAAATATGATTCCAACTCGCGACATAAGAGGTCTCATGTTTCAAAACAAGAGCCAAAAACTTCAATATAATTATTTGAATTAAATTGAGTTAAAGTAAGCTCTGTTCCATCTTCAAGCGAAATTTTTTTTGGAATAACGTATTTCTGAAATTTACGTGTTTTAATAATTGAAATCAAAATTTTGATTTCAATTATTAAAACACGTAAATAATATTTATGCTCTACTTTTGTATCGAGCACTATTTTTTAAAAATAATAACCAAAATACTAAGGAACTTTGGATTATTTACCTAACCAGTTCCTTCCTATTTTCTATATATTTTCACATATATATATATATATATAAAATTGGTTTATTAATTTTAACAATAATTTGTGTTTTCTTATTTCTTTCCTGTTGATGTCAGGTGTCCAAGACGGGTGTGACTCACTATTTCAGCATAATGAAGGCAGAAAAACAGCTTGGCTACACTCCAACCAAACAGAACGATCTCTCTGAAGCGGTTAAAATCCTTAAAGAGTCTGGATGCCTGAAGGCAACAAAAGATCGCAAAACTTTCACTTGGAATAGTTTCCTATTCAACATTATTCTTGGCTTAATTTTTGCTGCCATTATCTTGTCTTTCCTCCCACTGGCAGCATGAAAGATAACAATCAACATATGAATTAAATGAATTTGTCATGAATTCCAGTTTCTCTATTTTTTCTTTTTAACAAATACTTTTTTCTATCTTTCACACAATGTCAAAAATTTCTTCTATATTTCTGAAATGAGGTATTATAACTATTTACCCGAAGGACACATGTTGCTCAGACCAGACACCAAGGTGCAGTTTCTTCCAGTCAAATATTTGTGGCTTAAAAATTGCACAAATGAAGGAGAAAACAATTTCTAGCAGTAAACCAGATTTTATTCTCGGGTTGTAACCTACTTGTATAAGCAAGGGAAGTAGGGGTGAGCTGTAGGTAAGTGGGGAGGTGCACAGTTCAGCAGCCGTCTTCCCCGTCCATCCTGTGAGGCCTGCCTTGTTCCTTCTGAGTGGCTTTTCCTGGACGGTTAATTTTATAGACAACAATTTTCTTTGTCTTGTCATATTCAACTAAAAAAGTAATTAATCTTCCTTCCTTGACTTTCTCTCAGTTTGAGCCTCTTGCTCTTTACTTTGAAGTAAGCTCTACATACTGATAACCATTGGTTGAAAGTAAATGTTCTGTATCCACTTTTGTGACAGGTCCTACTGTTTTCAGTTTAACAAAACAGCTGACTCATATTGCTACATATGGCCCATTGGTTGATTGATACTGAAGTGACTTGACCCAAAAAGTTGTGAGTTCAATCACTGACCACAGCAGAGAGAACAAAAACTTGGAAAGTTATTAAGGGGAATTAACTAAAAACAGAGATATCCAAAAAAGGTGTGTTACATGAAATTAGAACACTCTATTCCAGTGAACTAAATAAAGGGTTTGGTTTGAAATTCTAAAGAAGACTGGAGCGTACAACAACCAAAACATGAATATGGCAACAGTTCGAATAGAATAAATAGGCAAAGATTCTTTTGGGATATATTTAAAAAAAATGATCTTTTGATACAAATACAGCCATTCCTCACTTAACAACAAGTAAATTAAATTAATGGTGATTAAGTGAGAAATTATATGTGACTACTACTTCAGGTATACCATACTTGTATTGTGTTTGAGTCAACCAGTTTTAGGTAGGCTTTCATCATCATCATCATCATCCTTACACCTCCCTGTGATTGGTCAAAACTACATTAACAATCTCTTTCCATACTGTTTAGTACTGCATTTCCATCCCCAATGTCCAACCAACCCTGACTCCTGAGACATGGTGTCTGGGAAAGTCAACTTTCATAAGAAAACAACCTCCAGAGAGGCACAACATAGTGCCAAAACATGAAAGCTGTTATGTAGCGATTTCAACATTTTTGTTATAAACTCTTATAATAAAAATAATATATATAAATGTATGTATATCACTTTTTGGTGATTAGACTAACTAGTAGCTGTGCCTTTCCATTATGAAGGTACTAGGTTGGTAGTTTGCTGTTTCTGATTAGTTGTCAGAAGCCCAAACTCTTTGGTAGCACTTATAGACACTGCTCTGATCAACAGTTGCATAATATCAGGGTATCTGCAGTGCCATGTCATGCACAGATAGGTGTCCCTGCTTTTATTTCCGGTGGGCAACCCTCTGCACACTGGCTGGTTTGTATTGCCATCGACGACAGATAGTAACAATTATGGTGGTCTTTTTTCTTTCTCCTCAAAACATATCACATAGAAATCACAACAAAAAGAAATAAAACTAAGCCAGCTAACAGAAAACCTACCAATCCCCCCCCCTCAACCCACATCAATCTTTCTTCAATATTCATGGTATCTGTTGCAACTTCAGCAGCATAGAATCCTTCCTTCTGGAACAGTCACCAAATATCTTTTTCCTTTATCGCTCCCCCTCTTCCCAAGACTGTAGTATATTAGACGTAATAGCTGACAGTATACAACAGGCACTTTCTCTCCTTCCATCTGCGAACATGTTTATCTTCAGTGACTTTAATGTTCACCATGACACATGGCTGAAACATTTTAAAGCTACTGATGTTGCCAGTATAGGGACATTAATTTTTTCCATTGCTTAATCCCTCACTCAAATTGTGGATTTCCCAACTGGTTTCCCGAGCCAAAGCGAGCAACGGGCTTCTCTACTGGATCTATTTCTTACCTCCTCTCCTCACTCTTGCCGAGCTTCACAATATTTCAATACTTCCCTCTTGGTAACAGACCACTCAGTGGTAACTATCGATATCTCCTAAGTATCAATTAAACAGGACCCCCTCACCCTATACACAAGTCCTTTTTTCCATTACCAGTATACCAATTGGGATTCATTTCCGGATTTTCTTTGTGACACTCCTTAGACAGACATTTTCAACCTCCTTATTGAAAATTGTACCACTGAGGTTTCTTCTTGGGTCAAACGCTTTCATCCTTTTATAGAAATATCAGGTGAAAACGTAATCCTCTCCCCGGTTCACACCAATATGCTTGGCTGCCATAGCACACAGGAAGCACTATTTCAAGCTATATCAGCATGATAGCTCTAGTTATAAAAGGGTTCTATTTGCTACTGCTCATAGCAAATGTAAGCGAGTCCTTGAAGGAGCTTAAGTCTCTGATTGCTAAAAGAATTTGACACTGCATAGCCTCTAAAATCTTTGGCTCTGTAATTACTGGCATCTCTGTAATAGGGTACTAAAAAAGTGCAAGGTCTGATATTCCCCCAACTCTTTAATCAATTTGAGGGGTTAGCATCCTCTGCTGATAAATATGAATGCTTTGCCTGTAAATTCTCTACTCTTGACTCTTCTGGAGTATCCCTGCCTAGAATCTCTGTGGATTGATATACATCTAACCCCTTCCATGGTTTCCGCTATCATCTCTAACTTAGATCCACACAAAGCATGTGGACCAAATGGTATCCCTGTAATAGTCATTAAGAAATGTGCTCCTGAACTGGATCCTGTTCTCTCTAAACTGTATAATAAATGCCTCACTGCCTCTTGCTTTCCTGCCTGCTGGAAGTCATCTGTTGTTCCAGTTTTTAAGAAATCTGGTGAACTGTCCAAACCCATCCTACTATCAGCCTATGGACTTTCTACCTCTTTTTTTCTGAAGTGAGAGTTTGTTTTGTCAGGCCAGTTATGACCAGTGCCTAGTGCCAGATGTGTTTTTTGCTGCTGGAATCTTTGGAACTTTTTGTTGAATTCACCATTTTTCTTATGTTAAGTTAAAGTTTTATTTTTACTTTCTTTTGCTGTTTTTAGACAAAGTTTTCAGTTTTTGCCCTCCCCCAGTTTTTATCATTTTACATCTTTTTTATTTTTATTTTAGGCATTTGATTTAATTTATCTTTTTAAGATATACTAAATTTCTTTATTTTTTGTAAGCCCCACCTGAGATTAATTTCATTTTGTCTTGTATAATTTTTGCATGTATTTCTACGTTACTTCATTCCTTGTTTTAGACGTCCCTAGTAAATAGTTCTCTAAATTTCTGTTAATTCTATTTTAACTTTCCTTTTATTCTTGTTTAATCTGTTTGTATTTATTTTCACATTTGTTTTGGTAAGACTTGTTTTACTTGCGTAACGTCGGCCATTTTGGTTTAAATTGTAAAAGTTGTTATTTTTAGTATTTCATTTTCATAATTTGTTTTTTTGTTGTAATTTAAAAAAATTTACTTTACACATCTAAAATTTTTATATTGTGTAATTTTATTTTTGTTCGGTGCTTATTCCTTTAAAGTAACTTTTTTTTTTTTTAAACGTCCAATTTGCCGAAGTTCACCTCACAGGTTTATGATGTCTCCAAGCATATGTACAGACAATTCACCTTCTCTTGCTTCAGTGAAATATGTCTCCACCACAGAAACCAAAAGCTAAATCTGAAAATTTGAATTTCAAAAAAGCAGAAAAGTTTCAACAGTTAAAAGATGCTTTGAAAGCAAAATGTCTTCAATCTGCCGGAAAAACTGGCCCTTCTTCCGCGGCACCGTTTTCCCCAACTGCCAAAATACGTCAGATGACTCTGCCACCCACGGTAAAATCATCGATCCCCCACTCCTTTCAAAATTACTGCTCCCAAATCCTCTGCCATAAAAAAGTCTATTCCTGCCAATACCCCTAATCCATCACCTGTACAAACTCTCATCAACTCACCTAAAAAAACAGGCCAGCAAAAAAGACAGTGAACTCCATCAACGGATTCCAATGAATCCACTACAAAAAAAAAAAAAAATCCAAACCTTTTTTCAATACTGGGGAAGACATGTGCCAAGTATCCAAAGGACAAGAGGGAAAGGCTGTTATGCAATCGAGAAAAATAAAAAATCTAAAATGTTTTATCAAAATTTTTAAAAAATAAACGACTTAGACATAGAAAAACCAAATAACTTTCCAAAAGCAAAAAGAATATTTACTGTAGTGTCCGGTGTGCCTGGACAATAAATATGATCTACGATTGCAGAGATATACCACGTTTTGGGGATGTTTCCCCCGATGGCCTGCTTTGATAATGATAGCATTAAACAAAACAATATTGTTCAGGAAGGCTCCTGCTTTTTGTTCACCCATCCCTGTATAGAGCTGTGAAATTAATGTTCCGCCCCAGGACATTGGCAGCTTGTCCCCTGATGGTACCATCAAGACTGAGGTGGGTACAGGTTCAATGAGACAGGCTGTTTGTGTTCTGACCCCAACCATGTTTAATGCAGAAGAGCAACCTCCATTGGTTCAATAATGACACTCTTTTGTGAATGCCCAGAATCAGAGGTCGGAGTCTCGCAGACTGTGGCGCTCTCGTGATGATCAGCATCTCAGGGTGAATGTATGTTGCATGTTGCATGCAGGAGACTGTTTTCTATTCGCGATTATGAAGCATTCTGTCTAGGGGTTTTTCCCTCTGTTCAGCATATTTTGATGGACACTTGAGGTGTTTCCTGGCTGGTGAGCAAGTCTTTCAAGGCAGTGTGTACTCATATCTTTGCAGGTCCAGCGGACAGAGTTTGCATGCTGAATGTTGCCATAAAGGATAAGGCTCTTCTTCTCATTGGGGTTTAT